GATGCGAGACGCGGCGTCCCTGTGGGAGAAACTGGTCGCATCGAAGATGCGTTCATTAGGGTTCCGTCAGGGCCGGAGTTCTCCTTGTGTCTTCTGGCACCCCGTGCGCGACATGCGCACGACGCTCCACGGCGACAACTTCGTCACCTTGGCTGCGAGGGTCGACGCCGACTGGTTCGAGAAGGAGTTGAGCAAGGACTGGACGGTCAAGGTGGAGGGCATATTCGGGCCTCCTGGAGAGCCAGATTGTGAGAAGAGTATTCGTACGCTCAATCGTTTGTTGACGTGGACGAGTGCCGGCATCGAATGGGAGTGCGACCCGAGGCATTCGCAGATCTTGATTCGCGAGCTGGGAGTGGCTGGAGCAGGCGGTAAGGTTACGACGCCTGGGATCAAGGAGAAGCCCGATGACGACGACGACGGCGACGAGCCTATTCAGCATGATCAGGTCCGCTGGTATAGATCTTTGTGCATGCGTGTGGCCTACATGGCGCAAGACCGCCCGGACTTAGGTGTGGTCACGCAGGACTTGGCCAAAGGCATGAAGATGCCGACTACCCGGCACGTTGCCATGTTGAAGCGGGCTGCCCGGTATCCTCGAGGGCACCCGAGGCTCGTGCAGCACTTCCGGAACGCTGCAGGGCTGGTGCGACGCAGACCACGCAGGCTGCCTCAGATCGAGGAAGTCCACCACAGGCGGCGCAGTGTTGGCGGGAGGTCACTGCCTCACACACTGGTGCCGGGGCCAAGCTGTGATCGCCCTCAGTTCGGGGGAGGCTGAATATTACAGTTTGGTCACGCTCATGTCCGAGTTGCTTGGGATTCGAGCTCTTGGACAGGATTGGAACCTCAAGTACGGTCTGGGTGTGAACATCGATGCAACTGCCGCCATTGGCATGGCATCGAGGCGCGGACTTGGGAAGGTCAAGCACATTGACACCGTCTTCCTTTGGGTCCAGGAGCGGATCGAGGCACTGAAGGTGCGGGTCGCGAAGCGACACACGAGTGAGATGCTAGCTGATCTACTCACCAAGCATCTTGTGCACGACAAGATCGTGACGTGCTGCAAGGGCCTCGGCTTCACCTTCGCCGAGGGCCAGCACGAGCTGACGCTGACGGCTTGAGCCAGGAGGCTTGGAATCTAGGCCGGAGCGCGTGGGCGCTCGGGCGCGGCGCGCTGGAGCAGCGCGAGCGCCCTCGGGAGGCGTGTCGAGATCCCACGCGTCCGCAGCCGTTTTGCGGTTCAGGGAAAAACCCTACTCATTTTGATGTAGATTTGGTTTGCAATGCGCCATGAACTGTGTATCTCGATCCATTGCCGCTACTTGATGACTGGACCTTTCCCGTGCGGCGCACCTGGAATTCAACTGCGATTTCCAAAGCGACCCCGTGTGGCGACAATATCGACCCTATCCTGTAGCGACAAATTATGTTTTTGGCGATATTGCCTACAAGCGTTTGGCTGACCGGGTGTGGAATGGAGATCATCTCCCCCGTCGCCTGGACTTTTCGCGGCGGAACGCCGTGCAACCATAACACATTGATGCGTTGAATGGGCCCTCCTTTATCCTGCTACGACCGCGTCTTTTTCTCTTCTTAACCTCCTCGCCTGGCCCAGGAAGGGAACGATACGAATTACACGAAAAAGGTTTGGGGGGAATCGGAAGTATACTGAAAGCGATAACCTTGATACTGAAACCAAAAACGTCGATACCGAAACCAATTCTCAATAAAGAAACCTGTAAATAATACCCATGTTGCCCGAAAAACGCTGCAAAAACCGAAACCACCCATTCTCAATAAAGAAACCCGTGCTGCCGCGAAAAACGCTCCAAAACGTTATATATACGAGAGAAGGAAGTGGAGGAAAAAGAAAGAGTTAGACAATCTCCAAACCCCGAAACCGGTACAGCGATCGGAACCGATGCGTACGTGTAAGCAATAAATCTGCTGAAGGGAGGGGAAAACCTTTATAATATTTACCTTTGCTCCCCTCTATCCAGGCAACTTGGTTATTCCTTCATTTTTGTGCTGTCCCCAAGTTAACCATCTACTCCGGACAGTGTCACCGCAAAAAATCTACCTTGCCACATGGGACGACGATGTCAATTTCGGACATTCACAAAATTGTTCCGTATACCTTCATGCGATGGGTGGCAAACGAGCTGGCAGCACATTCGGTATGATAATTCGGTGATGTGGGACTCCGATGTTGGGAAAGAGTCGGTCCCACAGCTTACTCGGGTAGCTGGGCGCATAGATTATCTCAATTATTGGATCCTTTCCCCTCATATGGAAGGAATATATTCCAAATGAACATCCACAATTCTCCCTCGAATGGTCCACACGTCGGGACCTGGCCACGGGCGCGCGTCCACCATAACCACCGACCGACCCACACATATACATCCCTAGCGTCGGTGAACGACATATGGTTAGCAATTTCTACGCGTCCAAACCATTGGAAAAGCGAGGCCAACAACAGAGCATCAACCAAAAAAGCTCGGATATACTCGTGCACGGGGTCAGATTCCAGGTATTGGTTTGTTGATATGCTTCGGAAGCCGAATGATTTGCTTATGTGATAAGTACGACGACGGTTGGGCATTGCTACTACAATGGATGGACGGCGACCGCGAAGCGCGAGAAGCCGGGAGAAACGGCAATGCCGATCCAGCCGAGCAAAGAGAAGAACGGAGCCGAACACCACGACATCGCGACGCTGCCGACGGCAGCTCCACCAGTCCATGGGGTCTCCATCGGAACAATGCTTCCACCAAGATGCGGCACGCCATCTGCCGCCGCCGCCTCGTCGGTCGAGGGAGGATGGGGCATGGTAGGAACAGCTGCATTAACGACAGTTGCTACGACAGCCCCAACAAGAGGACGGCGGTAAGTTCGGGGCCTCCCCCACCACGCCGCATCCACGAAAACTGACCACAACACCAACCCACACCCACACCATTCCACACCACGCCCACAGGGGGGGGAACCATCGTGGGGTGCCAGACCGAGCGCAGCCAGAACTCTGCTCCCAGCCGATCAATCTAATTCGAGAGCACGAGGGAGCGGACTCATGCGAGTCCTACCCTGCGGGCGCGGAAGAGGAAGGAGGAGAGGAGGATCCAGGTCCGGGAGGGGCACAACAAGACCAGCTTTTCGAAATCACTCCGAGGATCCGCCGGCTGATTCACAAAATTCACGTTAACCTGGGACACCCCCATAAGAACGTGTTTCTCAAGGTTCTCCCGGGAGCGCAAGCCAAACCCGCGGTCCTAAAATTCGTCCACGAAGAATTCCGAAGCGGGGGTTGCGCGGTGCACTCCGGGCCAGCTGGCAGTCGCTTAGTTGCCACTCCTAGAACCTCAGAGTTCAATAGGATCATCGCCCTAAACGCGTTTATGGTATCCTCCCAAGAGGAACAGCTGGCCTTTCTCAACATCATCTGTCATGGAACCAACTTCCAAGTGGTGAGCTTTACGATGGAACCTCCCTGGGGGCCTGGAAGGCCTTCATGAGGGCCTGGGCCGGACCTTTCGGACACCCGCTTTTCGCGATTACCGATGGAGTGGGAAAGTTCAAAGGGGCATTTCGAAAAGGGGTTTGGAGCATCTGGGAATATTCTGTTTCAGCATGTCGCGGACTCGGAGAGCTCGCGGCAAAACGGCAGGGCCGAACGACACGAGGGATGGGTGAAGGACATTCTGGTGAAATCATCCGAAACAGCCCTCGTCACCAACGTGCCGGAGCTCGAAACACTGGTGCATGAGGTCACAGCCGCCAAAAACCGATACTTCCACCGCGGCGGCTACACCCCTCATCAGTTGGTCTTCGGGATCAATCCAAGGATGCCACATGATCTCACCTCTGGTGATCCACTGCAGGTGGTGGAAGCCGGCGACCTATATCCTGGCTCGTGGGACCAGGACACGGCAGCTGCGGAATTCGCACGTCGCGACGCTATCAGGCGGCACGCGCGACGAGAGCTGCTTGAATCCTCCCATCAGCGTCGCCTGGCCAAGGCCGCCCACGCCACCGTTCATAGAGATCGCCATTTCGTGTCTGGCCAATGGGTTTACGTTTGGCGACGAGCTCCGAGGTGGGGAACAGACAACGTTTGCTCTCTAAAGAGACAGATGGGTGGGTCCAGGCTTATTTGTTCTGCAGCGCGGTACCTCCGTATGGGTCGCCATGAGATCCCGGCTGTGGAAATGCTGCTACCTCCTCCAAGAACCTGTTCCTTTCCGGGAGATTTACCTCTCCCCCCCGAAACTTTTCTTTTGGGGTGGTCGCGAGGTGTTAGGGCGCCAAAGATGACCCACGATGGCATCGGCGAGAAAGCCAAAATCATGAATTTGTCCAAAAAAGGTTGTGGCCCCATTTGGGCGAGTGGGGGTGCGATTTGGGAGGGGCGAGGGGGCGAGAGGTCTGTTATCTGGAAAAATGGTTAACTCTCTGGGAAAAGGGTTGGTTCTCCAGGTGGACTTCTGGATCCTGATATCACTGATGGAACGACATCCTTCCGCAGAACGCCGGGCACCTCCGCAAGCAGGCGCAGGGGGGAGGTTCACCCACCCACCCAGCGCCAGCAAACGACGAAGACGATGACGACGACAACGACGACGACGACAGCAAACGACGACGATAGCAGCGGGCGGGCGGGCGGGATACGTGGTCGTCGTCGACGTTGTCGTCGACGTTGTCGTCGTGAACAAGGCGGTCGGACGGGCGGACGAGCGGGGGGTGACCCCCCCCCTCTGCCCAAGGGGGGGGAAACGGGGTCTAGACCTCCCCCTTACCTTTTGGGGGTGGGTGGGAGACCCCGCGGTTTCTGGACGTCGGGGATGCTTTGGGGGTCTCCTGGTTTAGCACCTCGCCCCCTCCACCAAACGACCACACAATGCGCCCTTTCCTAGCTGCTGACCTACACCTTCTACATACCTGTCTCCAACACTTCGTCCTCCCAATACCACGAACTATCTCCCCAACATAATTATGATCTGCGCCCTTCTCTTGTGCCTCTTTGCGCTCGGGCACCACATCATATCGAGACCGCCGTTGCTGGCGCCCGTTGCGCCTGGCTCAGCTCAGGGAGTGACTGCCGCAATCTGCCTGAGGTAGCGCCAACCTGCGAGGGGGACGACGGCAATCTTGTAGTCTGATTGCATGCGCTGGGGGTGCCTTGGAGTCCCTGCCTGTGTCCAACAACTTGTGCAAACACATTACGGCAGGCTTCTGCCGCGACAACGTCGGAGCCTGGCTCCTGACGCCGCGTGAAGTGTTCCATTTCACAGGTCAAGTGTCTTTAGAAACTATCGAGCCCATCTTGCGTATCGATCTCGCGGGCGCGTGTGGCTGTGCGTGCTTTCTGTGGGCCCATGGCCCACGAGATGCGTTTAGACCTGAACGCCCGCGCTGGCGTTCGACGCGCCACGAATCTGCCGCACCGCGGGGTCTATCAGTACTACATCCGGCTGCCAATCTGTCTGGCGAGCTGCAGCGGTAACGCAACTTGGAAGTCACGTTCTAGGCTGGCCTCCTCCTGTCTTTTGTCTCCTTCTCCTCCTCCCCGTCCTCCTCGTCGTCGCCCTGGCCTTCTTCTTCTTCTCCTCGTGATTATCTCATCGAAGCCCTGTTTTCCAGACTCCCCACATCTTCTGGTACTTCAGTGAATGCACAACTTCGCAACTCAATGTAGTTTCCTCCCCGATCGTTCCTCTCTCACTCCCTCGCCACGCCTCCTCCCCTGGGCAGGGGGGGGGAATGGGAAGGATGAAGAGGGATGAACGAGAGAGATGGCTGCCACCCCACTGCCCTCTGAAGCTCCCTTCCGAATTACGTCCTCACCTCTCCCCCTCCCTCCCTCAATCCGTTCCCCGTCCTGCCCACCTGCGTCCTTTTTCTGCCCAACTCGTACCCCTCCCTATCACATCTTCCGTATTTCTGTATCTCGCTCTTTCGTTTCTTCTTTCCCTTTCCCCCCCCCTCTCTCTCGCCGTTGTGCAAACGGGCGCCCGCCGCCTGGGGAAGGTGGCCGCCGTGTCGTCGTCTCGGACCGTCGTGTCGTCGTCGGTCGTGGGCGGGGATCGCGTCTCCTTCTCTTCCCTCCTGCGGCTTCCACGCAAGAGGGTCAACCGCACCTTCTAGTCCAGCCAAAACGCCTCAAGACGGGATGCGAGGCCTCCAAAGGGCCCCCAAAAGGCCCTCCAGGAGGGCCCGAAGAGGCCAACCTCATTGGTTTGTCCGTAAGCTGTTCGGAGATTTTCGCGCTCTCGCCTTCTCGAGCTTCTGAAAACCAAAAACTGCCCGATACAGACCCAAGGAGCCTGAGAGAGCCCCAAGGTGTGCTATGAAACCCCCAAGCGGTCCTACAACACTCGAGACGGCCACAATACGGCCTAGACAAGCCCCCAAGACGGCCTCCGACAAGCCAAGATAGCCTAAGAGAATTAAGCTGTTTTAAAAAAAAGGCCCCTCGGATATCTCCAAGAGACCCCCAATAGGCCTCCTCCTCCTCGTCCTCCTCCTCCTCCTCATCATCATCATCGCCGTGTATCACTCTCCTCCTCCTCCTCTTCCTCTTTCTCCTCCTCCTCCTCCTCCTCTTCCTCCTCTCTCTCCCTTCTTCCACGGTCTCCGAAAAGGTTTCCAAACCGGCTGGGGAAACACACGGTCAAATATCTTGGCTGACTACGGCCCGACGTTCGGCCACATTGGCGATTCCACAACGCAGTGGCCGCTGGTGTTTCGCCATAGGCGGCCTTGGATAACCTCGAGGGTGGGCGCATGGAGTGCATCCTATATACAGACGACAGTGCAGACGACACCCTCCTGTCAAGGCGCAACCCAAACCGACTGCAAGAACTGCAGGATTCTGGTGCACACACGTGTGGCTTTCGGTGGTGGACAAACCCCCTTTTAGCAAACCAACCTTTCATGAAAACGGCCTAGGACCGAAATCGACGAACCTGGACCCGCAAAAAGACGGCCGCGACGCCCTCTCGCGAACCGAAGACGGCCGATTCGCTAATCGACGTGTCGGGGTAGGAGGTCTATCAACCTCCGAGGCTTGTACAGCATTGATGGGAGCGAAGATGAGTCATACTCTCTGGACACTGGCCAAAGACGCTATTCCGATGACAAGAAGTCTGACTTACTTCGGCGTCGGAATCCACGCGGGTGGCCAGGAGCTATCCCGCAAGCTGGGACAAGGGCGGGGGGATGTCACAGCATGAAGGCAGTGGAACCAAATCTTTTTCATTGTCCAGACAGATGCGCTTTCGACGCCGTAATTCTGTCGAAACTCTTATATACGGCTTGCAGTCCGCATGGCCAAATGCCGCAAAGACCAGGATCTGTAATGGCTGTTATTGTCGCTGCTTGAGAACAATGTTACGCATCCCCCCGTCTTACACGTCTCAAATTGAAACCGAACAGTAGTTCAAAGTGCTTGCTGCCAACCTTTGGACGGGCGTCTGTTGCAAGAACCACCGTTGCTCTACGGGCGGGTCGCCCGACCACCTGCCACATATGTTCTCCGCAATGATACATCCGTCCCGAACACGACCATCCCAACGGTATGTCAGGTTCTGTTGGCGGCCGCGCCACGAGTGACCGTCCATGATGAACAGGGAAGCATGTCGTGCCCATCAGAGCTCTGACCTTGTGCATGATCAGCATACGTGGAAGCATAGCGTTGTACATGACTGTCAGCGTCCACGCGCCTTTGGCGTATGACTTGTGCGTGCGTGTGTGCGTGTGTGTATGTGTGTGTGTGTGTGTGTTGGCTGCTCTGCCCGCTACCTCCGCCCTGGGCGGCGGCCCCTCCGTCGCCTGGCGCTGCCTGCGCCCACCGCCCCCCCTCTCCTGCCCCGCCTGGTTCTCCGCTCGCGCGGGCGCCCCCCCGCTGTGCCCTGCCCGCCTCGGCACCCGGGGTATCGCTCTTCGTCCTTTGTTCCGGCCCGCTGGGGAGGGCGCTCCGGGGTGCGCTCCGCGCCCGTTCCCCCGCCTGTCGGCTCCCCTTCCTGGTGTGGTCCTTGGGTCGGGAGCGTCTCGCTGTCTCGCCGACTCGCGGGACCCGGCTCTCTCGCCCACGGGGCTCCCGCCCCTTCCTCGTCGCCGCCTGCGCTTCCCCTGGGGCTGCCCCGTCCCTTCTGCGCGTCCCCGGCGGTTGGGTCTGGCCTGCGCCGCGTCGGGGCTGCCTCGCAATTCATCCGCGACCTCAGCACCCTTGGTACGTGTCCGCTGCACTGTCCCCCCGCCTGGCTCTCGTCGTCTATCGTGCCCTTTTCGCCTCCGCCGCTTTGCCTGGTTTTCAGGCCGACCCCTCTCCTGGAGGTGGTTCCGCCCTGGCCGCCGCCCTCGGGCTGCCTCGCAGGTCACTTGTGACCTCGGCTCCCCTGGGCGTCTCGCTGCACTGCTTTCGCCTCCAGCTCGTGCTGGGCCTGCCCCCCTCCCTGGGCGCTTGCCTCTGGCGGCCGCCCTGCCCCGGGCGCCCCCTCCGCCGCCGCCTGGCCCCGTTCTGAGCAGGCCCGGCTTCCTTCTCCCTCCTGCCCGCGCCACGCTGCCTCCTCTCTCCACCGTGCATGGCGGTCCAATTCGCGTTCTGTGCACCCCACTAATGCCCCATCGCCAGCGCAGTGTGTGTGTGTGAGAGAGAGATACAATCAAGAAATCTCTGGAGTCGTTCGAGCAGATCCAGTGTCAAGTGCGAGAGGATCTCAAATTCCCCTCCTTCTTCTCACTCCTCCGACCTCTTCTCCCCCCTTCCGTCTCCTTCTCCTCCGCCTCCCTCCTCCCCTCACTCCTAACTCTGCTCCCGTCGTCCGCCGCTCGATCTGGCGCCTCTTCTGCACCTCCGGGCGTGCACCCGCAACGCCTTCATGCAATCAAACAGCCTTCACTTCCTCCTCCTCCTCCTCCTCCTCCTCCTCCTCCTCCTCCTCCTCCTCCTCCTCCTCCTCCTCCTCCCCCCCCCTTCCTTCCGTCCTTCCTTCCTTCCGTCCTTCCTTCCTTCCTCCCTCCCTTCCTTCCTTCCTCCCTCTTCTCCCGTCCTCCTCCACCTCCTCTCTGGTTACTCCCGCCTCCACCATCCTACTCACCCCTCCTCTCGCCTCCCTTCTCCCCCTGCTCCCTCCTGCTCCCTCCTCCTCCTCCTGCCGTCCTCCTGCGCGGGGGGCGGGGGGGGGGGACGCCTTCCTCACCGGCGACGCCTCCTCCCTCTGCTGGCGTCCCTGCTGTCCTTCCGGCCTCTTCTCGCTCCTCGACCTGCTCGCGCTCCGGGGAGGGCCGCGGGACGGGGGGGGCGACCGGCGGAGGCAGAATGCTGGGAGGGCGGCCGAGGAAGACAGGATGGTCCAGAGCCGAATGGGACAGTCGAACCGGAGCATCAAAGTACATCGAAGCGGCAGACATCGGCCAGCAGATCGAAAGACAACGGGGTCGACGCCCGCCGGCCCAAGCCGAGGCAGACACGAGGAAATCCGAATCAGAGTCGGAATCCAGAGTGGAATCGAATCGAAATCGGGACCCTCGAAATCGAATCGATTCGCACCAACAATCGAAATGGCTCCTGGGAAGGGGCGTCAAGCGACTGGCACAAGAGCCCTCCTTCTCGATCCTCGATCCTTCGATGCTGGTTCTCAGGGCCTTCCTGAAGCCAGTGGCTCCACTCATGCGTCGTTGCTGAGTCGAATGTTCGTCGACTTGAGTCGAACTTCAATCGAGCTGGAATTGGAGCAGAATCGAACTGGGTTCGAACTACAGTCACACAGATCCGGCAGGTGGGCCCCAGGAAAATCCAACAAACGAACATCTAACGATCCTCCTCCTCCTCCTTCTCCTCCAGCTCCTCCTCCTCCTCCTCCTCTTCCTCCTCCTCCTCCCCGTGGGTCCTCCAACCCCCTCCTTTGCATCCTCCGTCTCCTCCTGATCCGCTTCGGTACGGGCCATGCCGGAGCCCCTGGGGGCCCCGTGGCACCGCCATGGAAGCCACGTGGGCGCCTCTGGAACCTCCGGCAACGCCCTAGAAGCTTGCAGTCCCAGACCCCTGGACTCGTTGCTCTGTCTCGGCGGCGGGCGATGGGGGGAAGTGAGAAGGAGAAGGCCTTCTCAGAAGGCAGCGGGAATTCTCAGAAGCCCTCGCCTTTCTGAGATTTTGTTTTTGTCTTCGGGAAAGGGGCCCGAACGACTCACACCACGAAGAGCCCGAACGACTCACACCACAACGATCGGCCCGAACGACTCATACCAGGACGAGGCGCCCGACCGACTCACACCACGAGGAGCCCGAAGGACTCGCACCACGACGCGGGCCTCGAACGACGTACACCACGTGGAGCCCGAACGAGTCACACCAGGACGAGGGGCAGCGCTTATACAAGCCCCCCAAGAGGGCCCCCAGAGGTCCACCAGATGGCCCCAAGAGGCACCCAGATGGCCCACAGTCTCAAAAGTATTGATTTTACGAAGGTTTTGGGCTCATTTTGTCCTTCTCAGGGGGCAGCGCTCATTTGCGCTTCTGAGGAGGTCGCAAGAAGGCCCCAAGAGGCCCCAAGATGCCCCCAGGAGGCTCCCAAGAGGCCTCCAAGAGGCTCCCAAGAGGCCCCCAAGAGGCCTCCAGAGGCTCCCAAGAGGCCCCCCAGAGGCTCCCACGAGGCCCCCAGAGCCCCCAAGAGACTCCCAAGAGGCCCCCAAGAGTCTCCCAAGAGGCGCCCAAGAGGCCCCAAGAGGCCCCCAAGAGGCTCCCAAGAGGCCCCACGAGGAGCCCCAACGACTCACACCAGGACGAGGGGCCCGAACGACTCACACCACGAAGAGCCCGAACGACTCACACCACAACGAGGGGCCCGAACGACTCATACCAGGACGAGGCGCCCGACCGACTCACACCACAAGGACCCCGAACGACTCACACCACGACGCGGGCCTCGAACGACTCACGCCACGTGGAGCCCGATCGAGTCACACCAGGAGGAGGGGCAGCGCTCCTACAAGCCTCCCAAGAGGGCCCCCAGAGGTCCACCAGATGGCCCCAGCAACTGTCGGCATGCTTCGCTAGAGTTGCTGTTTTGAGATGGGCTGGTGGGGATACGCGAAGCGTGAAGAATTTTGTTTTTGTCTTCGGGAAAGGCTTCGAAAACTTCGCAAAGGCCGGGGGACTTCCGAACCTTTTGAGAAGGCCTTCTCCTTCTCACTTCCCCCATGGGCTCATCGCCGACTGTCAGTCCGCGTGGCCCACGGGGCCAATTTTTCATTCAGGATGACTCGGCGGTCCCTGGGGCTCCGGGCGCCGAAAGTGGCGAAACATCTGGGGCGTCGGCGTTCTCTGTCGCCAGAGGTCTACGGCAAGTTCATGTTGTGACGATCCCAGCGTTGGTTTCTGACACCGCGTGGATCCTTCAACCTTGAACGATCGGCGGCTCTTCGATCGCCAGATCCTTCATGCTGGCCGATTCTGGGCAACTTGCGACGTTCAACATTGAGCCTGCCATGCGACTCCTCATCCCCAAGATCTCTGGACACTTCTGGGGGTTCGCCTGGACAAGGGTCTCAAAAATAGCCTGGCCATGGCCACCATCACGAGGAAGGCGCCCACGGTGGGCCAACATCTTCCCAACACCTTTGCTCGTGGCCTTCGTCGTATCGCCGCCGCCGCAACCGCCACCGCCACCGTCGCCGTCGCCGTCGCCGTTGCCGTCGCCGACGGCGTCGCCGTCGCAGCCGCCGTCGCCGTCGCCGTCGCCGTCGCCGTCGCCGTCGCCGTCGCCGTTGCCGTCGCCGTCGTCGCCGTTATCGTCGATGTCGTCGATGTCGTCGATGTCGTCGATGTCGTCGCCGTCATCGCCGTCATAGCCGTCGGCCCCCCAATCGCCCGTCGCCATCATCGTCGTCGTCGTCGTCGCCGTCGGCGTCGCCATCGTGGGGCGGCGCTCCCAATCGCCGTAGTCGCCGTCGGCGTCAGCCTCCCAGTCGCCGTCGCCGTCGCCGTCGCCGCCAACGCTCCCGTCGTCGTCGCGGTCGTCGCCGTTGCCATCGCGGGGCGGCGCGGGTGGCGGAGCCGCGCCTCTGTCGCTGTCGCTGCGGTCTCTCCGGCGGTCCTTGCCTCTGCCACCGCGGCTCCTTGCGGGCCGCGTGCGCGCTCGCGCGCGCGCCCCTCGCCCGTGGTTGAGTCTCACCCGACAGACTGTTGGGACTGTCAGATCTGAGCCAGCGTGGACCCAACACGATGATTCCTTGCAATCTGTGCGGTGCAAATCTGGTGGTGTAGTCAATGTGGTGAAACCTCGATGGTGCAGTGCATGTGGTGCAGTCTATGCGGTGCAAAGAAATGCACATCGATGTAGAGCAATGCACAGCAGTGCAAAACTACGCAGAGCAACCTAAATCAATGCAATGCAATGCAACGCAACGCAACGCAACATGACGCACGTCAGCGCAAAGCAGTGCAGTGCAAACCAGTGCGAGTGTGATGCAATGCGATTGCAATACTGCCCAGACGACGGGCGGCGCAGGGCAGCGACGAGACGGCCACATGGCGGCCAGAGTGGTCCGCAGGCCCAGCTTCTTGGAAGACAAGCGCGAGCCCCTAAGTGCAAACATTGATTGGACAATTCGACGAGGGAAGAGCTCCCGACCCGCCTCGTCCATCCAGCAAACAGTGGAGGCCAGTCCACAAGAAACCTTCCACAAGAAACCTAACCCTGAGACTCCAAGAAGTCCTTTGATTTTTGGCGTCGGAACGTCACGCTTTCCATATAAAACCATCGAAACGCAAGAAATCCAGGGCACCCTGGGTGCAAGCAGGGTGTTTCTTGGCATGGGTCTCCACTGTACCGCGGCACCAAGCCTCCAATGTCCCGGGCAGTCCATGGGACTCCCGCCTCGCCAGCCCTGCAAACAACGGCCGCCTCGCCCAGAGAATCCGCGAATATCCCTGAGTATCCCGCCTCACCGGGCCCCACCAAGGAGGCGCCACGGCGCCACGCCGTCCACAGACATCTAGAACAGACCTCAAGAACAGACATCAAGAGCAAGCATCAATCACCTGCCTCAATTCGCCACCATGCCGTGTGCATGTTGAGGCGTGGAATAATGCCAAGGTGTGTCTGGCAGGGCTTCTATATTCTAGCAGGGCCCCAATACTTACTCGCATATCGTTGCATGCCCCGCCCCCCATCCCGAGGCCCAGTCGTGAGAAACAAGGATCAACGTTCCTGACACCACGATCCCTCGTAACAGCCGATGCGTCCGCGTCCGCTTCAAAGACGGTCCAGGCAAGCAACCAATGACACCAAGACGGCGCAAGATGCCTCGACGTTGGCCCAAGATGGCCCCAAGGCGGCCCACTATGGCTTCAAGACGGCCCAAGATGCCTCTAAGAGGGCCCAACAGGACCACACTCGGACCTACACCAGGGTCCGCAAAACCAACATCACTGATTTCCCAGTGGATTCTACATGACTGCTGCATTCTCACTGTTTCGGGCTTCCGTCAGCCCAAGGCTGCCCGAGAAGCCTCCAGGATGGCCCCAAGATGGCCCAGGAGGCCTCCAAGATGGCACCAAGATGGCCCAAGAGGTCCCACGATGACCCAAGGTGATTAGTATTAAAAGGAACCCTAACCCTTTGGGATGGGACGTAAGTTAGGAGGGTCAGAAACATTAGGGGAAAAGGGTCTCTGCAAATGTATCGAATCAAACCGCCCAGATTATCTCTAATGCAACGACGGAGCCTCAGTGAGGCCACGTCTTCACTGTGTTATTAGGATTCGGGGTTCTTTATCCTCGATAAAAAAGAGGTAGCCCCAAGAAGGCCTTTTTCCAAGAGGGCCGCTTGTGGGACCCGCGATGGTCATAGACGGCCTTGCGACGGCCAGACCGCCCGAGGCGGCCCCACGACGGCCCCCAAGGCACCCACCACAGGGCCAAGAAGGCCCCACGACGGCCTACGCAAGCCAAGGCGGTTTAAGAGTGCCCTACGACTGCCCAAGAAGGCTCCCCTGGACCCCCCCAATACTGCCTCACAGGAGGTCGATACAGCCCCAAGACGTCCCAACCGAGTTCAATGAGAGCTCCTCAAATCGTGAAGACGAAAGGTGTCACATGTGACCGCCTTCCTCCTCCTCCTCGTCATCCTCATCCTCATTCTCATCATCATCGTCCTCATCATCCTCATCATCCTCATCATCCTCATCATCATCATCGTGATCGTCATCGTCATCATCATCATCACCAGCATCAGCATCAATACCGCCACCATGCTGCTCATCCTTATCCTGATCCTCGTCCTCATCCTTGGCACCATTACCATAACCATCACCACCACACTCTTCATCGGCATCGCTTTTACGTACATCTTCATTTGAATCTGCATCATGCTCACCATCACCACCATCACCATCAGCACCACCACCATCGTCATCATCATAACCAGCACCATCATCATCATAGTCATCATCATCAACATCAACCTCAAAACCATCATCAGTACCATCATCATCATCATCATCATCATCATCATCATCATCATCATCACCGTCATCGTCATCATCATCATCAACGCCGACATCGTTATCATCAATATCAACCTCATCATCGTCGTCGTCATCGCCATCGTCATCATCATCACCATCACAATCACCATCACCATCATCACCATCATCTGCAACATCTTTTCATCATCATCATCATCATCAACATCATCTCCATCACGGCTCCCCCAACCCTGGATACACGAGGTGTTACACGTGACGGCCTTCCATGCCCCCTCGAAGGATCGCCACCCAGAATGCTGGGCTGGCACGGTGGCGGGACTTGCCGCGGGCAACTGAATCCGCCGCCCCTGTTGCTTGCAAGAGGGGTGCCTGGCGTGCTGAATCCTATCGTTTTTGGTTTTGGTTCTTATTCCAAAAGAACTCCTCCTGGGGCTCCGGCGCGTCCCGCCAGCCACCCGAAAAGATGCAGACAATTTGCCCGGACCCGGCTCCAAAGGGTTTTCCTGGTCCAGACGGCTCCACGACGGCCCAAGATGGCCTCCAAGATGCATCCCAGACGGCCAAGATGGCCTCCAAGACGGCTAAGATGGCCCCAAGATGCCTCCAAGACGGCCCAAGATGTACCCAAAATGGCGTAAGATAGCCTGAAGATGGCCCAAGACGGCTCGAGAGGCCTCAATACGGCCCAAGAGGCCTCCAAGAGGTGCTCCAGGAGGGCCCGACGCCAAGATGATTGATTTTCCATTGGTTTTTGAAAGATTTGGGCATTTGCCTCTTCTCGGCATTCCGAGATCCATCTACGGCATCAGTGGACAAGTTGCATGCCCCCCTCACATGTCGGTACATTCCTCACACGGATCGTGCATAGAGAGTTCCATCACAAAAGTTGCACGACACTGCGAAGGGTTGGATCCCTCACCATTTTTCCCGACCATCCTGTGGTCTTGGGTCCTCGTCTTGAAGGGAGGTGCCCCGCGTCCTCCTCACTCCTCCTCCCCCCTCCTCCCCTCTCTGCCCCTGCCCTCCGCACAACCGTTTCAGCAGACCCCTCACATGTTTCCGCCCCCACCCCCCCCAAAAGGAGCTCCACCGAAGGCCCCAGCGGAAGGGTCCGCATGGCGGCCCCGCACCCATTTTGGTATACCCCTCTCACGTTTCATGGTCCCATAAGGGGGCTCCACCGAAAGTTCCAATGAAGGGGTCCGCACAGCGACTCCGCACCCATTTCGGCAAACCCCTCAAACTCCTCACCCGCGCCACACATTTCGGCACCCCTGTCTCACGTTTCGTGGCCGCACGTGGGGGCTCCACCGAAGGCCCCAGTGGCAGGGTCCGCATGGCGGCCCCGCACCCATTTCGGCACACCCTTCGCACGTTTCGTGGCTCCACAGGGAACTCCACCGACGGCCCCAGCGTCAAGTTCCCCACGGCGTCCCCGCACCCATCTCGGCACACCGCTCACGCGTTTTGTTGCCCCATAGGACGCTCCACCGAAGGCCCCTGCGGCAGGGTCCGCGTGGCGGCTCCGCGCTCAGTTCGGCACACCTCTCTCACGTTTCGTGGCCGCAGGCCGCACATGGGGGCTTCTCCGAAGGCCCCAGTGGCAGGGTCCGCATGGCGGCCCCGCACTCATTTCTGGACACACCTCACACGTTTCGTGGCCTCACATGGGGGCTCCACCGAAGGCCCCAGTGGCAAGGTCCGCATGGCGGCCCCGCACCCATGTCGGCACACTCCTCACACGTTTCGTGGCCCCAGAAGGACCAGCTCCTTGTTCTGCCCACCTGCCCTGCGGCACTCGCACCCGCATATGGTTGGATCATTCGCCCGGATAACTTGTTGTGTGTGTGTGTGGGTATGTGTGGGGGCTCTGCTTCTCCTGTTGCTTATAATGCCCAATTCGCTTCCGGATAGTCCCTCCCGTGGCTTGACCGGCGCCTGACCTCTCTTGCGGCCACGGATTAAGACAACAAAAAACATGATTTGAATATTCTGCGTGAAACAACTGGGTCTGCACACCTCTCGGCTCCTTCCTGAGAAGCTTATCCCATCCCGGAAAATGGTTGATGGTTCTGGAGTTGAAGCGACCCCTCAGAGTCTGAAAGTGAACAATCTCTGCTCTGCTTCTCTCAAGACGTCGGTCTGGGTGCGGCAAGTTCGCGTCGCAATGACGTCAATGACGTCGGCATTGGTATCCGCCGCACGAAGCAGGAATCGAACTTGATCGGACGCGCCAGGATGCACAACAACGCCATGCGAATATCGAACCGCATCGGATCGTCAGAACTTCGGCATCGAATCAGATCGGGCCGGCCAAAATCCATATCGGACCGACTGAATCGAAACGGGCACTGCAATAGCTAATCTGACTCAGAAGAGGCACCGTAAGAGACGAACTGTTCGCCCGATGCTGGCAAACAGCTGCACAGGCGTGATCTCATCGCCCTGCTCGATGAGTAAGTAGTAATGAAAATAATAACAATGTCTCGAGGCTGGAAGAGCCTTCGAGGATCCCGAGGCTTGGAGGGACCCCTGGCGTTGCCCCTGACCTGGGCCAGCCCCTCCCCCCCTTGTCGTTGCCCCTGAGACGAGGGGGAACGATCGGGGGGGACTGGCTCAGGGGGGGAAGCATCGAGCTGGAATCGGCGATGCATCGCCGATAGGTCGGCGATGAGACCCCCATAGCGAAGCCGCATGCTCCTGGGGGTGGGTGGGCAATCGGGCCCCTCTCGGAGATGAAGGGGCGACTGGAGGTCGATGCATCCCCCCTGAGCGTATCCTCCGCTGACGTTGCTCATTGGTTTTCAGGTCGTAACTCGTCCGGCGGCCGTTCGGGACGATCCGGGCAGCCCCAGAACGCCCTCGGCGAGGCGCAGCTGCTGGAGAGCATCCCGAGGCCGGGAAACCGCTGAGGACCGACGAAAACCCCTGAAAACCTCGAACGACGAAAACCTCCAGTCTCGAACGACGAAAACCCCTGGACCCCCCCTGAAAACCTCGAACGACGAACGCCTCGAGTCTCGGACCCCTTGACGCTGCCCTGGTGAGACGCCCCCTGGGGGGGGTCCTGCTTCTGTCGCTGCCACCGCGGCGGCGCTCCTGCTCTCTGCCTTGGGGCGGGCGGTGCCCTCGCGCCCGCCTCGCCTCCGCGCGCCTCTGCCCCCCCCCCTGCTGCCAGAGCAGAGGCCTGCCAGAAGCCCAGGGGCATTGATAGAAGAAGAAGAAGAGGAAGAAGAAGAAGAAGAAGAAGAAGCACAACAAACTGCGTAAACACAAACTTTTGGCATTCCGCGCGGACTTCTTGGATCTGCGCTGGACCCCCCCTCCCTGGCGCGGGGGAGCGCGCCAGGGGCGGCGCAGGAGGCGCCGCTGGGGGTGCCCATGCGCGGATCCAAGAAATCCGCGCGGAGCGCCAAGAAGGTTTATGCTTATGCCGTTTTTCTTCTCCGACTTCACACTCAAGAGGACCTGACAGCGCCGCCCAGCTCTGCGCCTCGCGCCCCGCGGTGCGCGCGCGGCGCGAGGCGCGCGGCTGGCCTCGCGCCCTCGCGAGGCCGTCCTGGAGACGTGCAGCTCTCCGGCCCAGGCGCGCGACGCGATTATCGTCGCGCCCCTGGGGGTGACCTGGAGGGTGGGAGGTGAGGACGTGAAGCGATTCATGCGAGATCCTTGGACGTCCATGCTTCGGAGGCGCCCAAGAGGGGGGTTCGCGAATCGTGGTCCGAGGCACGTGCGCGGTCCAGGGGAGGGGGGAGCCCACGGAATGTGTGGGACGGAGAAGGGGGTGCCATGACATCCGTGGAGATACCATGGCCCCGGCCATGATATCACTCCTGGTCATCACACCCCCTTCTGGACGCCCAACGCTCGCGGCGGCATCGGGCCGGAAACGTTCGCGCCGCGAAGACGGCCCGCCGCCAAGACAGCTGCCCAGAGCGGTTTCGAGTCCCCGATCGGACGCTCGGCTGCTCAGTGTCGGAGGAGTGCGTCGCTTCGCCGATGCATCGACGAGGTTGGTGTGGAGAAAATGAGGCCGCATTGCGGATGAATCGGCCATGCGGCGCGATCCTCCGACCCTGTCTACTCGGGCCCCACTTGGGAGGCCGGGAGGCCTGGATGCGCCCTCTCCTCCTGCTAGGTTCTCTATTCGATCCTCGAGGATCCAGGATAACTGTTTTTGGGTAGGTTCAAAGCGTGGCAGCATTGCTCCTGCACCTGCTCCTGCTCCTTCTCCCTTGTCCCCCCTCATATGTTCATCATCCCTCGTCTCCCTACTCCACTATTTCCGTGTCTTGCTATGTTTTTTTTCCGGGCTCCTCATGCTGATCGCCAGCCTGATGCTCCTGCATCTCTTCTTGCTGCTGCTGCTGCTCCTCCGTCTGCCTTCCGCATCTCCCAAGAGCGCCCCAGAGTGCTTTTACACCCCTGCGCCCTGGCGACATCCCCTCCTCTTTCCCTCCCACTTCCTCAGAGGCAGAGGGACCACCTTCACAATGCACCCCTACAAGCAAAGCCCTGTAGTAAACGCACCAAGGGAAGGAATTGACCAGGGCAGGACTGCGTAGTCAACTGTATAGTGAAAGCCAATATTGGGGTTGGGGTGGTCTTTCGTCCTAAGATTCCTCCTCCTCCTCCTCCTCCTCCTCCTCCTCCTCCTCCTCCTCCTCCTCCTCCTCCTCATCCTCATCCTCATCCTCATCCTCATCCTCATCCTCATCCTCATCCTCATCCTCATCCTCATCATCATCATCATCATCATCATCATCATCATCATCATCATCATCATCATCATCATCATCATCATCACATCATCATCATCATCATCATCTCCTCCTCCTCCTCCTCCTCCTCTTCCTCCTCCTCTTCCTTCTCCTCCTCCTCCTCCTCCTCCGCCTCGTCCTCGTCCTCGTCCTCCTCCTCCTCCTTCTCTTCCTCCTCCCCCAGGCATCGACCTTCAGACCTCCGAAGGCCTACGACGGCCTCCGAAGGCCCTCGGAAGGCAACCCCCAAGGCCTCCTCCCCCCCCAGGCCCTCCTAAAGCCACCCTAAGGCCCCCCGAAGGCCCTTCTCCGTCAGGCATCGACCTTCGGACCTCTCCTGGAGCGCATTCTGACCAGGATCTCGAGGCGCATCCAGCCGTGTGGCGTCGAAGTCCCCCACCAACTGCTGAGGCCCCAGCAGGAGGACCTAGGCCTCCAAACTTTGCGCATCGCGCCCAGCGAGACGCTTCTCGCACTCGCGCCGCCCCCCTCGGACAAAAGCAAACGCTTTGATCCAGACCGCGACGCGCCTTCGCGCCCCTGCGGGCGTGGCGGCGTGCCAGGAAGCTCGAACACACATTGCCGGATCCATATGTGGAACACTCGGAGGCCACGCGCTGGATAGTGTCACGGCGGGCTCGGGGCTTTCAAGGCCGCCCACGGCGACAATACGTCCGAAAACCGACCAACCGAACCGACAACGACACGGAAACCGACCACAACCGCCTCTACTGGAAGCACCCTCCAGGAGGGCGCAGCGACGCGGCAGCGACACGACAACCGACCGAACTGCGCCGACCGCACACCACCGGCTGCGACGCAGCTGGACCGACCGACCGACAGCGCACATCCTCCGACACTGGCCGATGCTGGACCGCTGGCGGCGCTCACCCGTGGAGCACCCCGCGCCGGGGCCACCGCCGCGCCGCCGCGGCTCGAGCCTGCCGTGAGCCCGGAAACGAGGGGCGGCCGGAGCCCAGGGGCGGGGGGGCGCCGGGGCGCCCCGCCCCCCCCAACGACAAGAGGGAGGAGGGGGAGGAGGAGGAGGAGGAGGAGGAGGAGGAGGAGGAGGAGGAGGAGGAGGAGGAATAAGAGGAGGTTAGTCTAGGACAGCTCCGAGGGGAAGAGACTCGCAAGTCTGAAACATATGGGGGAGAAGCGTCCGTCCGTCCGTCGGGCCCCAAGAATGGTGCGGAGACGCACCGCGGTAGCCCTGTGGCCAAGGGGGCGGGGCCAGAGGCGCCCGCTGGTGCCACGACTTTGCACCCCCTGCCTCGGGGCCCTCTTCTGGAGCGCGTGCAGCCTAAGATCTCGAGGTGAACCAATCGGGCGCGGCCTCACCGACCCATTCAATGACAAGCCCCTTCCGTGACTTGGCGGTCCTAAAATGGTGCGGTGACAAACCGTGCGGTGTCCTCGAACCCCCCGAAGACCTCACCGCATGGCCCGCGACCGCACGGTTTTGAGAGCCTGGATGCCCTGGTCGCCCGAGACGTCCTCGGATAACGACCCGAGTCCCAAAATCGCGCGGCCACCCCGAATCCTTGAGAACTCACCACACGCTGTGGTCACCGCACCGTTTGGAGGCCCCCAGTCGTCGCTCGGTGCATGGTTGGCGCCCCCCTGGGGGCGCCGCCTCTACTCCTGCCGCGGTCCCTCTCCCTGTCCCTGGCGGGCTCCTGGGCGGCCAGTCGCCGTCGCCGTCGCCGCCGCCGCCGCCGCCGCCGCCGCCGCCGCCGTCGCCGCCGCCGCCGCCGCCGCCGCCGCCGCCGCCGTCGTCGTCGTCGTCGTCGTCGTCGTCGTCGTCGTCGTCGTCGTCGTCGTCGTCGCCCCAGGGCGGAGCCAGGAGGGAGGGCGTTCGGAGGCAACTCCTGGGCAAATTCAGGGCCCCAGAGGCCGAAAATTGCCACCACACCTTCCGTCGTGGACTTTTCTCACGGCGCGAAGCCTTCTTTTCGGGCCATCGGGACGATCCGGGCACCCCCAGAACGCTCTCGGCGAGGCGCAGCTGCTGGAAAGGTCGGGGGCGGCCAAGGGGGGGCGTCCAAGAGGGGGGGGGGGGGGCGCAAATCATGGACAGCGGCATGTGCGGGGCAGGGACGTGATGACATAAGAAGAGGCGCCGCCATGAAATCTGAGGAAATATCATGGCCCACGCCGTGATATTCTCCCCCCTCGTCATCACCCCCCTCTTGGCCGCCCCCGAGAGGCATCCCGAGGCTGGAACACCGCCGAGAGCCGGAACAGCCTTCGTCGGGGCTGGACAGACCTCCCTTTAGTAAAACGTGGTTTAGTGAAAACGACCTCGGGCCAAAACCCGGCGGGCGCAAGCCTGGAAAATGACGGCCGCGGCGCCCTCTCGAGAACCGAAAACGGACAATTCACTAATCGACGTGTCACTGTTGGGGGCTCTGTCCACCCCCGACTTCGGGAACCTAAGGTGCCAACAGAAAAAAAACGCCTCGAACCTGGAGGGGCGGGACGGTCGGCCCTCTCGGGCCGCCCGCCGCTTCTTCTGCCCCCCTCCTCCTCCTCCTCCTCCTCCTCCTCCTCCTCCTCCTCCTCCTCCTCCTCCTCCTCCTCCTCTTCCTCCCCCTCCCCCTCTCCCTCTCCCCCCCCGAGATCTGGCGTCGCGGAGAGGCTACGACAGCAGCCTGGGTCTTGAGCGCGGACGGATCGAGGATCGGAGGCTCCAGTGCAGCCAGGCAGCCTCCAAAGGAGGCCATTGTTTCCCGACTCAGGGGGCTGTATGCTGTGTAGGAAGCGGTATAGCGGGTGGAGGCCAGTCCACAAGAAACCTTCCACGAGAAACCCATCCATGAGACCCCAGGACGTCCATGGGTTTTTGGCGTGGGAGCATCACGCTTTCCATGGCGAAACCATCGAAACCAAAGAAACCCAGGGCACCCTGGAGGCAAGCAGGGTGCTTCTTGGCATGGGCCTCCACGGTAATACAATATTCAGCTAAAGCCCGTCGCAGGACCCCACGAGGCCCATACTCACTCTCGCCGGCGCATCTGGGGGACTTTCGGCAGCGCTGCTCGGGGCCGCAGCTCGTGGTCGCCAGCGGCGCTTGCGGACAGAAGGGAGGAGAGGTGGGAGGAAGAAAGGGGTGGGGGAAGAAGGGCGATCCCCAAACGACCTCATGTGACTGCACTGGAGGAGGCCGGAAGCGTCGGGGCGGCGTCTCGCCCCCCCGCGCGGGGCTCTTTTTAGCCACGCTGGCGCCCGACGATGTGCTGACTAGTGACGTTGTGAAGCAAGTGTGAGTGAGGAGTTCGTTCAATAGGAGTTAAGACAATCAGGACGCTTCAAGCGCGTGGATGCAGCTTTTTGGCAGTATCAGGCTGACGTGTCCTCCCCTGCGCGGATCTTCGGAGCCAAACTGGCTAAAGATGATGCGCATGCAGCATTGCTGGTACTGATTGCTCTAGCACATGCGCGATGCCCCAACACGGGGACGGTGAGGCTCACTCCCCCTGCCCCTCCTCGCGTTGGTGCATGCCCACGACGACAACGACGAGGATCGATGACCGAGGTTTTTGTACATTTTTGGTCCCTTTGGCGCCTCGTGGCCACAGCACGATTTACACCGAAATTCTGGCCAGCAGAGCGCGCCCCAAGAGGTTCCTTGCGCGAAGGGTACCAGACCCGCTGGCGCCTCGGCAAAACGCGAGGTGGACGTTTTTGTTCCCCCAACTTGGGCTTCTCGGGCGTTCGTTAATGCGCGGCGGGGGGGTGTACACGGGTGGGGAGAAGCGCGCACCTTTCCAACACCTCTTGGGCGCGCGGTGGCAATTTATGCGCCGTAGTCTACCTCGAGCATCCCTCGAACATGACCGTGAAGTCGTCGAGGTGGTTTCGAACCCCCACCCCCCGCAAAGTCCAGGGGGTGGGGGTACCCCCCACAAGCGGCGTTGGCAAACGACGACGACAGCGAGGACGATAACGATGATGACCATGACGATGACGACGTGCTCCGCCTGCCCGCCCCGGCATCGGCAAACGACGAGGAGGACGAACACAACGAGGATGCTTACGACGATGATCGTGACCACGACGACACGTCCTGCCAGCCCGCCCGACCGACTCGCCCACGACGACGGCGCCAGGCCCACCTTGCTGTTTAACCGACTCGCCGACGACGACGACGACGGTGGTGGCGACGGCGTAGGACGACGTGTCCCGACCGACCGACCGACGCCGGAGACCGACTCACCCAATACGACGACGACGGCCCGGCCCTGAGCAAGGTGTGGAGAGTTCGGGGGGGGGGGGGGGGGCGCGCCACCCAAAGTCGGATCGCCGAGCGTCCACACCACCAACCACGCAGATACATACAGACGATATTTCTGGATGGAAAGACAGGCGCGTTCATGTGGAGCACACACAAAGGACGCGTTCACAGAGACGCGCACATGGAACACGCAGGTTCGGGATGGAAAAGAAAGATATACAAAGTGGGAAGGACGAAGGTACGCCCATGTGTAGAACGAAAGGATTTCTCCGACGGCAGGACCCTACGTGATACTCTTCCTAGCTAATCTGGAAGTGGACCTCGTCTTCATTCTTGTCAATGCAGTGGCTCTCTTCCCATCTCCTCATCGCCCTTCTCCTTGTCGCCCTGGCGGAGGCCCTATTCCAGCCCCCTGCTCTGCCTCCTGCTCGTCCTGCTGCCCTTTCTGCCCCTTTAGCAAGGGTGCGCAAATCGATGTTCGTTGGCGCCGTTACCGGCACGGCTGGCAGGGGCGCCTTCTCCGATGGCCACCACGGGGCTCCCACCTCAGACTTTCTCTCAATTCATTCCCGCACGAGGTTCCCGCTCGAGACCTCCGTCATATTCAGGACTGAGGAGTCCGAAGGTGACGACAATTACGCGGTTCCGATGACCCGCTCGGATTAGTGTCATGATCTGCGGGCCCCGTAGGGAGGGGGGCTGCCGCCTGAGACTTCCTCGCAATTCGCTCACGATGGTGCTGTGGGGGTGTTCTTTCTGTGCGGGGGGTGCCCAGAGAAAACATTGTGCGGTAAAACTTATGGCTGATGTCAATCATGGGATAACGGCAGTCATGACTGATGATTAGTGATTGGTGATTGATGAATGATGGTGCTGATGATGCTGCTGATAATGCTGCTGCTGATGATGATGCTGACGATGCTGATGATGCTGCTGCTGATGAGGATGAGGATACTTATGATGATGCTGCTGCTGCTGATGATGATGTTGTTGATGATGATGATGCTGCTGCTGCTGCTGATGATGATGATGATGATGATGATGATACTGATAATGATGATGCTGCTGCTGCTGATGATGATGATAATGAGGGCGATCGTTTTCACGCAGACGCTTCTATATCATGCAGTGTGCAGCCAGACGAGACAACATCATCTCACGAACGCTTTGCAACGGCAGAGCCTCTGAAAGCTTCTCCAGAGACCCCAGGCAAGGTCAGGGACAGCAGGGTTGGGCAAAAGAGAGTCACATAAAATTGGGAGGGAAAACTTTGAGCAAAAATGGGCCGCGGTCGCTTCCCACTCTCGCAGTTTCCACCCGCCCTCATTCCAGTCAAAGACAGTGCCATGAGGGCGATCGTTTTCACGCAGACGCTTCTATATCATGCAGTGTGCAGCCAGACGAGACAACATCATCTCACGAACGCTTTGCAACGGCAGAGCCTCTGAAAGCTTCTCCAGAGACCCAAGACCACTTTGTGCCCCGGGCCCATGAATGCCCTGGGATCCTTAGATCACGACAAGTTTGAAAGCAGTCCCTGACCAGACCGAGCGAGATGACATAAGTGAAAAACCTCGGCGAGCTTTTTACAAAGGCGGGGGGGGTAGGGCTGTGCAATTAAGGTCCAGAATTTCCCATTCGGGGCTTTGCCAGAGAGCTCGAGGCGGGGGCGACCAGACCGAGAGCACAACCCCCGCCCTTTACACTTAAAAGAATCCAGAGTCCTACACACATCGTCAGGGATATTACACAGCATGAGTCTAGTTGCTTTTCTCCATCGGGTTCCGAATTGGCAAAAATCTACTCGTTCCAATTTGACTTGCGGACAGGCGAGCAACCTTAGAACCTCAGGAAGGATCCAGAACATTGAGGTGAGAGGGTTCTCGACGATGCACGGGACCTTCATCCTCAGGCAGAGGCGTACCAGCTTTATCGTGAACCTGGTCAGCAAGTTACCGATATGCACCTTCTCTACGTCCACGGCACTGAGCCCTGCCAGGCCCCAGGGAAACTCGTTGGATCGGAGCGGCGGTGGGCGCCCACGACGTGCCCGGCTCAGTGTGTGGCAGGGGGTTGCGATCATCGCACCTTTTACTCTGCCAGTTCGGACGCGATTCAAAAGTCTTTGTTGATTTCGATTCTTTGTTAGATCGTGATCTGGGCCATGCACGACATCGGTCACTGTTGCACGGCCTCCAAGCTTTGTCACTTCCGCCGCGACACCTCCGCAGCCGGAGTAGACGTCCTCAAAAGCCCACTGCGCGGCAGCGACGGTGCGGCGGGCGGGGCGAGGCCGTCCAGCATCACGCGCTGCAGGTTGGCCTCGCACCACAGGGCGAACTGCTGGAAACTCTTGGGCAGCCGCTGCCACTGCGCCTGCACGCGGCCGCCCTTCTCGTAGCGGGCGACGCTTTTGTGGCTGCCCCAGCGGCCGCGCTTCAT